CCCAGCCCACCTCGCGCCTAGGATCGTTAGCCCCCCCAGGCCCATCGCGGGCGGCCTCCAGGGCCCCATCTGTGGCCCGGTCGCGTGCGGTCTCCCAGGTGCCATGGCTGGTCTCACGCACAGCCTCCAGGGCTTCCTCTTTGCGGTCGCGTGCGACTTCTCAGGTCCAGTCGTTGGTCCCAGCTGTAGCGCCTTTGCAGGAGGCCTCCAGCCTCAAGTCCCTGTTCCTAGCGCGCCCCGCCTCTCAGGTCCAGTCCCTGACCGGGTCGAGCTCAGGATCCCAGGTTACGTCCCTGACCACCTCGTTCTCGAGCTCTAGGACCTTGTCGCCAACGCGGTCCCGTGAAGACTCCAGGACTTCTCCAAGGCCTTCCTTTCCTGAGACTTCACAGGACAATCTCCCCTCTGCGAAGTCCAGCCCCAAGTTTCCCTCAGGGCTGGCGCAGGGTGCAGCTTCTCTTACTCCACTGTCGGAGGCTGTGGACACCGTCGCTGCAGCAGAGGTTGTCTTGGGGCAAGTCTGAACCCCACCAGCAGAGAAGCCTGCAAGCTCCGGGTTGGGGAGATGAGCAGGATTCGTTCCGGGTTTCTCTGGGTGTTAATAAAGATGCTCTGCTCTGCGCTGGCCTGGTTGGCTGCTGTAGCATTTCCAGAGGGCATAGAGGCTCTCACACAAACCGCAGACTCCTGAGCTGCCAGGGTTTTAATGCCTCTTTACCCCGTGTGTCTGCTGGAATTCAGCGTCTTCCCTCTGCCAATTCTGCCATCCACGGACCCCAGCGAGACCTGGGGGACGGTGCTAAATTCTTCGTGGAAGCTGGATAGCATGGGACCTTGAGGTCCAGATCTGAGATCCTGAACTGCACTAGGTTTTCAGTGCAGGAAGTTTTGCAGCTATTTTGAGTAATACTGAAATAAATTGTCCAGCCAGGGATGTAGCTCAGTGGCATTGCACCGCTCCTACCTCACAAGCAGTCTTGAGTTCAATCCCTGGTAAGGGTGTGTGTGTGTCAAATTAAGAGAAAGTTGCAAGAATAGTACCAGGGCTCCCATAAACCACATCCAGGTGCACAGCAGCATACCTTTTGCCTTTGTGTTTGTTACTGCAGTTTTAGGGCCAAAACCCTGACTTGGCCACCCATTCCATGTCAGTCAAGGAAATGGGGTGCAGAGTGGACAGGAAAGGAGCATTGATTAGCATGACCATGCTGGGAGACACAGATAAAGGTTCAAGACTTGTCTTTGAGGGCCTGGCAGAAACTTGTGAGTGCTATGATGCCAGCACTCTAGGAGGCTAAGGCAGAAGATTGCAAGTTCGAGTCCAGCCTGAGACTTAGCAAGACCCTGTCTCCAAACAAAAAAGCAAGGGTTTGCATAGCTGGCAGCACAGCAAGTAATCCTGGTCCAGTCCTGACCTGGTTGATCATTATCTCAGAACTGGTTCTTCAAGGTTCTGAGACAAGACTTGTTTGCGGGGTGCAATGTGGTTGCTATCATTAGACAAGGTTCCTGCTTAGGGAAGCAGCCTGGGTTCATTGCTCCCACTTGAGGGATAGCCCCATTATGGAATGGTTTGCAAGGCTCTACTTTTTCTGGAGTCCAGGTGGCAGCAGGTATAGGACAGTTACTGAAGACTTGCTAAAACTGCTCCAGGGAGTCTAACTGGACCTTGTAAAAGCAAGCAGTTGGTCTCCCTGCAAATGTTTATCTTGGTGTCCTTGGTCTTGAAGGGGAATGAGCTAGACTAGGTCAATTTAGGACTAATAAACTTTGTATTACAGACACTCCTTACGGGATTAACAGTCTGGGTGCAGAGCTGAGCAGGGATCTGACCTAAAGTTTTAAGGGAATAAATGAGACTGGAAAAAAAAAAAAATGAAGGCAGAGATGCTAACCCTCATCCTGATTTTAGCTTCCCATTGGGCATCTGCAGGCCTATCCTTTAGGTCCCGGTTACTTGGTGTTTGTGTGTGCACATTTCTATTTGGGGTTGCAGGAAATGCACCATAGAGAAAATACTATATAAATTGTAGTTCACAGACTTTGTCACTTGTTCCAATAGCGTCCTTCCAGCCTCTGCCACTCTTCCCAGGGTGATGACTTTCCATTTTGTTGACATGTCTCAATGAGCCAAGCCAGTTGTGTTCCTGGACTGAGGTTTGAATTTGTCAACACTGAATGAAAAGACCTGCCCTGCATCCTTGGCCCTGACCCAAAGGTGCTCAGGAACTGAGCCAGGAAATGCCCTGGGGAAGGGCAAGTTCTAGCCAGCAGCACTGGGCCTGGTGGACTGTTGGGGTACTCATGGCTCTAAGCCAGCTGCTCCGTGCATCCTGGACTCCTGAGTAGATGGCTCTCCAGTGGAAGAGCCCTTGGCGGCTAGCCCCTCCTGAGCATAAGACCTCAAACCTCCTCCAACCAAGTGGATCTCCAGCCCACCTTCCCTCCCAGTCCCTAGGGGAAGATTGGGAGTTGGAGAGAAGAGTGGAGACATCCCAGCAGGCCAGTGTTGGGAGTGTGTGTTTTGCCAAGAATGATTCAAACTTTTTTTTTTTTTTTTTG